TATGATGCTAATAATGCTAGGACCATTAAAAAAAAACAAGCATTGTATAATGTGGTCAATGCTGGTGCCATTAGAAAAAAGCAAGCAATCTATGATGCTAATAATGCTGGGACCATTAAAAAAAAACAAGCATTGTATAATGTGGTCAATGCTGGTGCCATTAGAAAAAAGCAAGCAATCTATGATGCTAATAATGCTGGGACCATTAAAAAAAAACAAGCGTTGTATAATGTGGTCAATGCTGGTGCCATTAGAAAAAAGCAAGCAATCTATGATGCTAATAATGCTGGGACCATTAAAAAAAACAAGCGTTGTATAATGTGGTCAATGCTGGTGCCATTAGAAAAAAGCAAGCAATCTATGATGCTAATAATGCTGGGACCATTAGAAAAAAACAAGCCTTGTATAATATGATCAATGCTGGGACTATTAGAAAAAAACAAGCATTGTACAATGACATTAATGTTGCTACAATCAGACAAAAACAAACGAAATATAATCACAGGAATGCTCTCACAATTAGGAAAAAAAGAATAGAATATTATCGTCAAAAGAAATGGCCACAGAAACAGATGTTTTACAATTTTGCCAAGCTTGATAACCTATGTTTTCATCCAGGAGAAGTATCGCTATGTGAACGCAAGAAATCTCAACCTACATAGAGAAACACTTCGTTCATTACCTTACAACAAACTTGGAATTTAGGAGAAGGGTATTGTACACCCACAAACATTTAAAACTAATTCATCTCAAACAAAGAAAGTTTACTTCTGACTTCAATTCTGGACAAAAACAGTATCAACTTGCTAAAGTCGTTGATAAATCCTATTTGGCAGCTTTTCAGCATGCCCGTCAAGCATTGCTACAAGGACCAGTATACGTTTGTGTTTGTTGTGCACGGCTACTTTTCAAAAAGGCTGTAAAACAAGTTAATATGGTCCGCTTCAAGAACCTTGAAAAAGTGGACCAATGTCTTTCCAGCATGGAATCCTTTGATGGAGTTGAATGGATATGTTCATATTGTGTAACATATTTAAACAAGGGCAAAATGCCGCCAATGGCTATTGCTAATTCATTGTCTCTAGATGCCATAACCTGACGAGTTATCTTGTTTGTCAACAATTGATGAGCATTTGCTGAAATTGCAAATTCCTTTTGCAAAAATAGGAAACCTTGTGATGGGACAAAAAAGGATTAAAGGTCCTGTAATTAATGTGCCTTCAGAGGTTCAAAAACAGTGTCGGTACTTCCCAGATGTGTCAATGACAATCATTTTCACCCGATTCAGTTGAAAAGAAGGTTAAAATACACTGGATATTATAAGTTCCGCATGTCCAATATATACAATGTTTTAAAGGGTCTTACATGGCTCAAAGTACACAATGATCTCTATAGAAAAATTGAGCTTAATGGTAACATTAACGTTCATGAAATAGACCCTTTTGCACACAATGATAATATTGATTCTCCTGGTTCTGAAATTGGAGAAATGAATGAAAATTATATTCGGGGTTCCAATCCTGTTCCAATTGGAAATAGATTGCTAAACAATTCTGCTTCAGCCAGCCGTGTACAATTAGTTATTGAAGACCCAGTGGATGTATGCAAATCAGAATCACCAGTTACATCAGGTGATGAAATGGAGGTGCAAGGTGGGTGTGTCTTAGACAGTTGCATGCAACCTGTGAATGGGCCTTTGGCTGCTGCGGACACAGTCATCCACAGAATGGCGGATTCTTTACACAGCACTATTATAATTGCACCTGCCGAGGCGAATGCGCCTACAAATTTTTTTGATCCCATAAGTAAGACACAAGAAGAAGAGAGCTTTCCGAAGTTTTTTCCTTTCGGGTGTGGAGGTTATCACTCAGCAAGAGAGATGCCATGCTCTTTCACGAACTATATAAATTGCAGATTAAGAAATGTGGATGGAAGGTTTCGGGATTTGACCTACCTTTTTTGGTGCCAATATGTGAAAGAAATTCTTCAGATTCGTGGGGTACAATCTGTTTATTTGCGGCAGATGCTCACCAGAGGTGTTTATACGAAACAGCATATTCAATGAAAAAGGTGGTTTGGAAAAACCTTATTAATTCCGATGCTGCATTCAATGCATACAAAACTATCAGAGGTACTCCTGCATATTGGCAGAACAAGAAAAAGGATGTTTTTGCAATGGTCAGACAATTAGGGAAACCTCATATATTTTTCACTCTTAGTGCAGCCGAAACAAGGTGGTCAGAGCTTTGGCAAATATTACATCGTGCAAAGTTCAAAAAAAGATCTGTCTGAAGAATCTGCCCTCGGGTTTATCATATACGGAAAAAAATGAAACTCATACAAGATGACCCAGTTACCACAGCTTTGTATTTTCATCATCGTGTTACAGAGGTCCTCAAGTTTGTCAAATCACCATGTAAACCATTGCTTTGCGCAGTTAAAGACCATTTTTATCGAGTTGAATTTCAGGCAAAGAGGCTCGCCACATGTCCATGGCTTAATATGGTTAGACATCGGCAATAACGATAATGATACCATTGTCCAATACACAGAGAAGATTATCAGTTGCTCTATTCCTGATGCACAAAATGATCCTGAACTATACAAGCTCGTCACTGCACTACAAGTACATCATCACACATCTACCTGTTTGAAAGGCAATAATGCCGGTACTTGTAGATTTTTCTATCCAAGATTACCTTTGCCACAAACAATGCTTTTATCAGGCATACCCGATTCCACCTCCGATGCAGATATCAGAAAATTCAGAAGAATTAGGAATAAACTCCAGGAAAAGCTGTGTGACCTACTACAAAATTCTAATGATACTGAAGTTTCATTTACAGATTTTTTAAAATTATGTGACGTTGACGAAGAAACGTATATAAATGCCATAAAAACATCTATTAAAGGCGAAGCAGCAATTTTTTTAGGTAGAAAGACATCAGAGGCTTTTGTTAATAATTATAATCCGAATATTCTCAGGCTACATCAAGCTAACATGGATATTCAATTTATTGTTGATGAGTATGCTTGTGCTAATTAAGTATTATCTTATATAAATAAGAATGAAAGTGGTATGTCAAAACTACTGAACGAACTGAATGAAGAAGCCAAAACTTCCGGAAGCACAATGAAGGAGCGTTTGCGATCTTTAGGCAATTGTTGGACACATCACAGAGAGGTGTCAGCACAAGAAGCTGCGTATCGCGCTCTGAGCATCCCTTTGGCAGCTTCATCAAGGATAACTAAATTCATTCCCACGTCTCCGATGCAGAAAAGGTATGCTTGTTTAAAGCAAAACTGGTCTGAACTTCCTGAAACTGAAAATGTATTGAAAAATGGTGTCATTGAATACTACATATGTCGGCCAATTGAATTGGAAAATACCTCGCTTGCAGAATTTGTTGCCAATTATGATATTATGCCTGGTACAATATCTGGTGACATCACAGAAACAGAAGAAGGGGAAAATTTAACCACAATTCAAACAATCGTGCTAAACAACGTTCAAATATTTTGCAGATGAAAGAAAACATGGGATGCCTCAGAAAACGTAGGAAGGAAGCAGTTTTGAAGTACTTTCGCCATTACAAGACTGCTGCTGAAGAATCCTTTGCACTTTGTATCCTTTTTGTTCCTTGGCGAAATGAGTCTGTTGATTTGGGCAATACCAACATGCTTTGTGACAAGAGAAAAACGACCATTTTGCAGCAGTTGCGTCATTTCGAAGAAAAATGCTTCGTTCGAACATCTCGTGAATAACATTTTGAATGAACTACCGGAGGATCAACTTGAGGAACATTTTGATATGAAGAGACAACAGATGAAAAAGATATCAACAATCACATATTCAACTCGACTGATGTCTGCACCTCGAATTCTTCATGCAAAGGAAGACATTTTGATTTCTTTGCGTAAATTAAATATTTACAAAGAGAGTTTTTCGATGATGTTCTTGCACATTTAAAAACTCCGGAAAATGAGAGAAAATCGAAGTATGTTTTTCTTTCTGGTGGCGCAGGGACAGGAAAATCATTCGCTCTTCAAGTGCTTACACAGGCTATCGATTATACTCTTATGCAGAGGGCAAATGTGGATCCGGAAGAAATCAGGTGGCTTGTGGTTGCACCTACTGGTTGTGCAGCTTTTAATGTTAACGGCTCAACTATACATTCAGCCTTTGGCATCCCAATGTTAGGAAGTACCAGGTCATATTGCAAACTTTCAAATGATAAATTGAACAGCTATATGCGAAAATATTTCTATTTACAAGTCTTGTTCATCGACGAAATTAGCATGGTTGGTGCTACATTGTTCTCATGGATTGACCAGCGACTGCGAGAAATAAAAAAAAGTAATATTCCGTTTGGGAACGTTTCAGTTATAGTTATAGGTGACTTATTTCAACTTCCACCTGTAATGGATTCATGGATTTTCTGTACTCCAACTATTCATGGAGAAGCAGGTTGCTTGTCTACTAGTATATGGTCGAAATTTTCCCTGATCGAATTGACGGATATATTAAGGCAAAAAAATGATCTTGAATTTTGCCAGATTGCAACAGAGTGAGAGAAGGAAAGCAAACTCAAAATGACATTGACTTCTTTAACAAGAAACTTCACACAGTATGTCAGCAGGAAGATACTATTTGTACACTGCTTTTTAAAGAAAATGCATTTGTCGATCAGTATAATGCCCAAAAATTAGCATCACTTGATAGTGAAGTTGTAGAGTTTTTTTCAGTTGATGTTTCAGCAGATACTATGGAGAAGTGTGACATACCTTCTTCCTTGCCTCTTTCTAGAACAGCAGGTCTTTCCAGATGTCTTCAACTAAAGGTTGGTTGTCCAGTTATGGTCACATGCAATGTTGATACCAAATGTGGTCTTACAAACGGAGTAAGGGGAGTCGTGCAACATTTAGAAAATACTAACAGTATGGTCGTGTGGGTAAAATTTGATGATCCAGCTGTCGGAAATACTATTCGAAAATAAAACCCGTTTGCAGAGGCCAGACAACTTCTCTGTGCCTATTGTGCATTTGAAATGCAATTTTTTATACAAGAAAAAAACTGTAAGTCGTCGACAAATACCATTACGTTTGTGTTTTGCTTTGACAGTTCATAAAGCGCAGGGGCAGACACTTGATGGGGCAATCATATCGATGGATGGTAAGAGACGCACAGTTGAAAATGGTCTTTTTTATGTTGCGATAACCAGAATAAGATCAAGCAATCATTTGCACTTAAAGAATTTCAACGAAAGTTACATCAGAATCAGTGCACAAGTGTCACAAGAAATGAAAAGACTTCGGAGCAAACTATATGATTATTGTGAAACACCATTACGAATAAAGACACACAAAAAAGAAATTTCAATTTCATACTTGAATATCTCATCTCTTAGAAAACACATTAATGATTTGAAATCTGACTTCAATTTATTAGATTCAACAGTTCTATGCATTGCAGAAACCTGGCTTAGGCCATCGGATTCTGGTCCAAATTACTACTTGGAAAATTTCAACATCTTAGAAAGACTTGATGGACTTATTCAGACAAATGGAAAGGGATTGCTTCTTTATTCAAAAAGTAATATCAGATATTCAATATACAACTCTGGAAATGACGAAATTCAGTGGATCATGGCCAATATAGATGATCTAATTTGCTGTTTCGTATATTTCCCACCAGGAACTGCTTTGTATATGATGTCTGATTTGTTCTTATCATGGTTCAATTCTCAAACAGTACCGGATTTAATCATTGGTGATTTCAACAAGTCAACTGCAGAAATGGAAGTGTTATCATCAAAATACTCCTTGCTGTGTTTGACAGAAAGCAAGACTACTAGAGGTTCAAGGGATATCGATCACATTTTCTGGAAGAAATCTGATCACATGTCAGTATCTGCACAAGTTTACAATGTGTTCTACTCTGATCATGATGCAGTTTCAGTGCGTGTGGAAAAAAGGGAAAACTCAATGCTTCTTTGCAATGTGGAACTACCAACAGGTAAGGATAATATGATCTCTGATACAGAAGTATTTTAAATGTGTTTTTTTCATATTGTTGAGGAAAATAAAATGACACTGTTGCAACGAGAAATATACTTTTGTCATCTCCCACATAAAACCCAACCTTTATATGTGACAATCTCATCTAATAAATGTAAAGTATTATTTGGCAGTGAGAAATTTTATTTTTATTTTTTTTTATCAAAATCAAACTATACCCCAGTTTGTCTTATGTATTGTGTACATTTTTTATGATGCTGTAATCTGTTCAGTTTTATCAAATATAATTTATTATTATTATTCACTTCATTTTAAAATCAATACATTGTTATTTGCAGATGTGATAATTTGATAGCTGCTGAGCGTGAAACCATTCCTACAATTGTGAGCTGATGTGAAGAACCCCACCACCAAACATTTAAGCTTGAAATTCTCATTAGAGTTAGCTCGTCAAGTGCAATATTTTTCATGTTATATGTGTGAGAGCTATTATTGACATATTCTAATAAGTGGGAGTGGAGAATGTACTAGCATTGTCAATGTCTGATATTTTTTCATGGTTTGAATACAATGTCTTCAGTCTCATATTAAACTTTGAGTTATAACACCAATGGTCCTTACCAATGAACAACTTCATAAAACATGCTGTTTTCGTGAGTCCGGTTTTGAATGATTGAGTTCGTTTAAATTTATAGTGTAACATCAAAAAAACTGGCTGATGTAAGTATCGCTGGATTTATTTCAAAGACACTTATGACAGATGAATTTTTCTGTGGGTAATCTGATCATATGTCAGCATCTGCACAAGTTTATAATGTCCTCCACTATTTTAATGAGTCAATGACGTAGGTATGTGCCAAATCATATCAAGTTTATTTACATGTTTTTTTCTTACTGCATTTGCAGTCAAATTAACTTATTTCATTTTTTTTGTACGCTTGCACAGCTGCAATGTTTATGCTCATCTTTTAGCCTTTTTTCATTACAGTTCTGCGGTAAACAACATCAATATCCTAATAAAGAAGCATTACAATCTTTCCAATAGTGTTCAACATGTTATGAAATATGGTGGTCGCGGTTTCATCAATGCGAAAAATATTTGCCGGTTTAACAGCGTGATGCAATTATTGCAAATAGTTTTCGTGTCCATATATTTGAGCATTGCTCTCTTGTGTTCTAGTTTTGTTACACTGACTACAGGTTAATGAAAAAACCATCAATACCCGCAAACCAAACTTTCACAATTATTATACCAATAAAACTGTTGTGTCCCAACCATTGGTGGGGCGCTATCAGTAGTTATTTCCGAAAGTTTCGCCTAAGACAAGACAAGACGCTTGATCTTTTTCATCACAGCTCCCAACAGACCAATGCCTCTAGTCGTACCCTTAATATGGACAATTGCTGCGATCTCTGCGGTAATTTCAAAATCATTATTAACTCCACGCAAGAAAATCGATTGTTCTGCGATACCGTTATATAGAGCAGTGGTTCCCAAACTTTTTGTACCATCGCCCCCCTACAGTAGTTTATACAACTTCATCGCCTCCCAGCACTACAAAAAAATGTGAAGTCAGAAACGAATATATTACAGACCAAATAAGAAGACAAATCATATTTTATAGTGTTTTTCAATGAGATGGATGAGACACAATCTAATATCACCCCGTTTACTGATGGAAAGGCGATTTCTTGTTTTGATAATAATAGGAGCACGGCTGAAAATCCCTTTTTCACCATATGAGAGGTCGGAAATGAAAGGATCCAGGGTTCTACCTCCTCAAAAACCGCCGTGTACCTGCCTTATAGCATTTAACTCCCTAAATTCACCCCATTTCACATTAAAATAATGAAAACAAATTTAATTTTCTCGAACTTTTAATAATGATTTCCGTACATCTCATTCATTCCTACAGCCTGATGACCTGTACCAAAATACATTATATATAAAGCTTTTCGGTAAAAGTCATCATCGATTCCTCATCCTACCATGGCCTCCAGGTTATAGAATTAATCAGCCATTCGTTTTAGATTCCTGGACTCGGATGTGGCGAAAGCCGTGATTGACTATCGGCTACGGCCCAGGGGTCGGCAAATTTTATGTCGCTCGCGGGACAAAATTAGGGGTTGACAAATTAGGGCGACAATTCATGAACTCAACTCAGTCGTCTTATTAAAAAAATTATTACAATGACATTTGATGTGACACTGTCTTGTTGCTGCATCACGCTTAATAGCCATACGACGCCAAGGAACAATTTCTAAATGGGCATGACTAATCCTTGTTCTTTGCTTGTTCTTTGTAATGTTCATTTTCGAAAATAATTGTTCGCACAATATTTTCGCATGGTTTTTGAAATTTTGATAAAAATTTTCCTTAAGAAGATACATTTTTACAAAAATTGAGCAGTGATGATTCTCTCGAATATAATATGAATTTTATTTCCTCATTGCATCGCAATATATTTGAATATTTACTGCGATATTGAACCCCTGCACTCAGCATCAACTTTTCTGCGTGTTGCCATTTGCCTAATTATAATTAAATTATAGGCTCGTTAAACGAGTAGCTGTTCACTAAATTGTTAGGATATGATATAATTTAGTCTAAACGTGTCTCACGATAAATTATGTTACGTAAAAAATGTAATTTACTCTTGAGCGTAGATTATAAATAAAATTAATTCATCGTCAAAACGTCGTTTTGTCTGCGTATTGGATTTTCCCCGGACATAGATTTCCTTGTTTACTTCGTGACATTGGTCAATCAGCAAGATGCAAAAATAAACGTAACAATGCCTCCTTTTGCATCCGCTCAGACGCTTTTTTCACTCAGACAGATTTTCAGGCGTGGTCGTAAACATTACCTCAATTTCTCTGTTTTTGAATTAGATTCGTTTGATTTTAGTTGTGTTTCGGAAATTTAAATAAAAATCAAATAATTCAATGATCACTTTGTCTTCTTAGGAGTTTCAGTTTAATTGTAGTAACCAAAAATTAAAGTGAAAATAGCTGTGATAGACTAGGCTAAAATTCTTTACCGGTAATTAAAAAAAAAATAGATTGTTGAATGGTATGTATTCGAATGATAGTTTGAAATACCCCATTTTACAGGCGACAACTCGCGAAACCACTCTTAAAATAAGCACCAAAAATTTTAAAATGGTAAAGCATAGAAAGAATTTTCCGGGGTTGAAGGTCGGGGAAAGGTCCATTTGGTGGAGCGTCCCGGGCCAGATTATTTTACTTCGGCCGTATTTTGTCGACCAATAAGGTACGCAAACTACCGTGCCTTACGGCAGCAATTCTTTCGCGTGGGATAATTGCCCACGTGATTCAAACCTACGAAAGCACGCAGAGTACAGTAATCAAGTGCACGATGCGCCGAACAAAACCAGGTTTCGCGAAATCGCCCCCCATCGCCCCCTTTGACTTTTCCGTCCCCCTCTGTATTGTTTTCGCCCACCGGGGGGCGATATCGCCCAATTTAGTAATCACTGATAGAGCAGTAAAAGACCAAGTGTGTGGGCTGCTATGGCACCTTTATTTATCAACTCCACGCAAGAAAATCGATTGTTCTGCGATAACGTCATATAGAGTAGTAAAAGACCTAGTGTGTAAGCGGCTATGGCACCTTTATTTATCGATATATCCTCCCAGTTGGTTTCGATTCAAAAAGGCCATTAATGGCTCGTTTGAAATGGCTGGCAGGGCTCATTTCAGGAAAATAAAAAATCGTTTGTATCGCATCTTTGTATACTACATTACTCAACAAATAGTTTTACTCCAATTTTTCCTATTCAATTCTGAAAAACACAACGCGGGCCACTCGAAATGCTTCTACGGGCCACATATGGCCCGCGGGACACGGGTTGGACGACCCTATATTTTGGCTATGTGAATATTGCTAAAATTAATCCACCCAACGTCAAGATATTGTGCAAGAAAGGGAGTCAGCTTCTTGGCCCGTGGCAGCGAACGCGTTAACAGTGAAGATGGCTGCTTCATAATATTTTGTCTATTGAAAAATTCCGTTTGAACATGGAGATTGTTCACTGCTGGTCCGAATTTTGGGTGGATTTGGCCATATTTTGGTTCGTCAGTCTTCAGCGTTGTAGTTTCATTTTTTGTGAATAAGTAGGGTTTTGTTTTTTTTCAATTCTAAAAAAAATCGTGTTTTAAAACAAGGGCTTGTTTTAAATCAATTTTTTTCTTTATTTTTATTGAAATACCCCTTGCATCGCCGCGAAACTACGCCAAAACGTTGCATTCTGGCAGCTGCACACGCAGCCGTAATTATAATTTCAAAAATGTAAGTAAAATTTTTTATTTTGACTTTTACTGCTATTCCGTACATTTATCGCCACGTTTGTATCTCTACCACAGTCATAAGATTTACCCGGAATGTTTAGCCGAGATATCAGAAAGACGTTTTGAGTAAGAAAAATCATGAAAATTAGCTCACGAGCCTACTACAAAAGCACTTAGATCAAGTGCAGCTCTTCGGCAAAACGAGTGGGTTGCGATAATGAAGAATATGCTTATACCTGCGGTAATCTACTGATATAAACGATGAGACACCCTAACCTAGCCTATGTTAATTGTAAGAGTCCTCTGATGCAAAGACGCCACAACTAATCTGTTAGGACGTCATAATATGCATTTCGAGTTCAAGTTTTTCAAGGTTATACAATCTCATTTATTCGATCGCATTTCAATTTTCGCAAAGATGTTTCATCGCAGCAGGGTCGTTCACGTAATGGCTTATCGGTTGCGTGTCACTGCGCCAACCACTGAACTACAGCTTGAGAATGTGTGCATGAGCCTCTATCGATATTTGTGGCGTTTTGAAAGATTTATTGCAAATAAAAAGCGCTTGGCAAGTTTTTACATCCCTTTTTCTTCAATCTATTTAATACAAAAAAATCAAATAGTACAGCCATTTTGAACAAAACATCCAAAAAAAAATTGATTTAAAACAATTGTTTTAAAACAATTCTTTTTGAACAAATCCCTATGAATAAGATGAATTAGTTTCGGCGGATTCATCGGAATTAACATATTGGATTTCTAGCGCCGTTGTTTGGTTGAATTGCAGATATATATTGCAGAAAATCCAAAGTTGGTGTCAAACAACCTCAAAGATTCAGAAAAATTCTGATGTATATGTAATTATGGATACCCACCTATTAAATTAATCACACAGTTTTGTTGCAGACATCTCAAAAGATTTAATTCTATAATATTCGGATCAATTGTATTCGTGTATTCAGAGGCTCAAATATATATCCTAGAATATAATACAATGCATTGAATACGTAGATTTCATTTTTTATATATAGATATATTCACAGAGCTGTAGAGCTTAAGAGCAGAATTAAAAGCTTTTTTAGTCGATATAAAAAAGGATATGACAAATTAGCACGCTACACGCAGAGTTTTTCATCGGCGATCGTCTGGCATTACATATTACTTAAATGCAGTCGTTGAATTTTAATGCCTTTTTAGGGTGAAGAACACAATAATTTTTATTAAAATCGCTGTAAAT